ACTAGTTGAATTGTTGAATGAGCTATTATATATATGAGATTTTCAATATACTTTTGAGGCTCCTTCATGTTTTCGGTCACTATTTGAATATTTGTTATTATACTTTTGTTGTAATTTTTTAGTGGATTAACTTATTTCGTAGTGGATTATGTTAATATTTTAGTGGATTTCGATAAATTTTGTAGTGAGTTTTGACGAGATTATAGTGGATTTTAAATTCTTGCTTTGGAGACCGAATTTTAGTGAATGAATTAAATTGACACGTTGTTGTCTTATTTTTCTTTAATTTGGTTTAGGTTCTTGCACAAGCGGGTGATGGCAACAAGTGAGACGATGTTGGGTGATGATAAGTTTGTAGTGTTTATCACCGGGTCACTCTAACCTAACGAAAACCACGAGCAACACTATCATAAATTCGGAAGCTTGTAGTGAATTTTGATAAGTTTGTTGTTGATGCATAAGTGTTTTTCTACGATAATTTTTTAGTGGATTAACCATATATTACGTTAATTTTGTAGTTGATTACTTTAACCTATAAAGTGGATTTTGATAACTTTGTAGTGGATTTTGATAATTTTGTAATGGATTACGTTAATTTAGTGGATTATTTAAATTTATATTCGATTTCGATACGTTTGTAGTGCACTATATTAATATGAAAGTTGATTACGATAATTTCATACCGATTTCTACGTTAATCGAATAGTGGTTTTCGATGAATTTATAGTGGTTTTCTATGAGTATGTAGTGGATTTCAATCCATATATTACGTTAATTTTGTAGTGGATTACTTTAACCTATAAAGTGGATTTTGATAACTTTGTAGTGGATTTTGATAATTTTGTAATGGATTAAGTTAATTCGTAGTGGATAATGTAAATTTATATTCGATTTCGATACGTTTGTAGTGCACTATATTATGAAAGTTGATTATGATAATTTCATACTTATTTCTACGTTAATCGAATAGTGGTTTTCGATAAATTTATAGTGGTTTTCAATGAGTATGTAGCGGATTTCAATCCATATATTACGTTAATTTTGTAGTGGATTACTTTAACCTATAAAGTGGATTTTGGTAACTTTGTAGTGGATTTTGATAATTTTGTAATGGATTACGTCAATTCGTAGTGGATTATGTAAATTTATATTCGATTTCGATACGTTTGTAGTGCACTATATTAATATGAAAGTTGATTACGATAATTTCATACTGATTTCTACATTAATCGAATAGTGGTTTTCGATGAATTTATAGTGGTTTTCAATGAGTATGTAGTGGATTTCAATCCATATATTACGTTAATTTTGTAGTGGATTATTTTAACCTATAAAGTGGATTTTGATAACTTTGTAGTGGATTTTGATAATATTGCAATGGATTACGTTAATTCGTAGTGGATAATGTAAATTTATATTCGATTTCGATACGATTGTAGTGCACTACATTAATATGAAAGTTGATTACGATAATTTCATACTGATTTCTACGTTAATCGAGTAGTGGATTTCGATGAATTTATAGTAGTTTTTAATGAGTATGTAGTGGATTTCAATCCATATATTACATTAATTTTGTAGTGGATTACTTTAACCTACAAAGTGAATTTTGATAACTTTGTAGTGGATTTTGACAATTTTGTAATGGATTACGTTAATTCGTAGTGGATTATGTAAATTTTTATTCGATTTCGATGCGTTTGTAGTGCATTATATTAATATTAAAGTTGATTACGATAATTTCATACTGATTTCTACGTTAATTGAATAGTTGTTCTCGATTAATTTATAGTGGTTTTCAATGAGTACGTAGTGGATTTCAATTTTTTGTTAAACTTGCGGTAAAAAAAATCAATTAAAAAAATGAAAATTGAAAAAAAAAAAATTTAAATCGAAATTACAAAAAAATTGTAAAAGATGAATTTATAGTGGTTTTCAATGAGTATGTAGTGGATTTCAATTTTTTGTTAAACTTGCGGTAAAAATCCAATTAAAAAAAATGAAAATTGAAAAAAAATTTATATTTTTTAAATGGAAATTACAAAAATATTGTAAAAAGAATCAAAAGAAAAACAGAAATACGTGACTTAGAGGGTGTTTGGCTAAGGTTATAAGATGTTAGAAGGAGCTTATAAGATGTTTTAGAGCTTATAAGCTCTTCCAAAGCGTTTGGTAAATTTTTAAAAAAAGATCTTAATTTTTTAAAAAATAAGCTGTTGGAGACCAAATAAGATCTTTTTAAATAAGTACATCTACCCCACCTTTTTTATTTAAGATCTTATAATGAATAAAAATAGGAAATAAGCTCATTATCCAAACACTCTAAAAATTAATCCTAAAAATAAGATGTAAAAGCTTATCAGCTCTAAAAACATCTTATCAAATGTAAGAGCTTATCAGCTGTTTAAAATAAACTTAGCCAAACATCATCTTTGCATTGTGAGAGAGATTTGGGGAGTCGGTGAGAGATTTAAGGGCAGTTATTTTAACGGAGTTATTTTTAGCAATACTAATTTAATTATATTTTTATGAATTTAATAAAGGTAAATGAGGTATTAACCTTAATAAGGATTATCCTAATAGTAAATAAAAATATGGATTTATGCCTTAAAAAGTTTGTATGAGGGGTTATCTCATATAATCCCTAAAAATATGTTATGTGATACACCGTATTTAATGCCATACGTTTACTTTCATACCCACGAGAGATTTCTAAGTAATGACAGTATACGCCTCTGGAGATTTTGTAGGAAAGTATTTGTATTGATCGGATGTCTTAAATTTGTTAGATGCTTACAAATGAAGTGTCTATTCCTATTTATACTAGGCCACATTCTTAATAAACGGGTGGAGATCTACTTGATTTAATTTAATGGCTAGGAATTGTTCAGTAGAACGCTCCAAATAATTCCTACAAAATATCTACAAAGGAGATGGTTCTAGAAAATTTTCTAGAATATCTACAAGACATTTGGGCCATCTTGGGCCTAATCCTATTTGGTGTAAGTCTTGGAGTCTTTAACCTTTTCAACTCAAGAGAAACTGGCAAATGATTGGGCCAAAAGTAACTAGGGGTTGTCTAGGGTCCGAGAGGGGTTGTACTACTCGGACCCAAACGATTGAAAATTAACCAATAAAAATATGACACGTATGATTTGTACGAACCCCATAAAAAAAGTACGATACCTACCTTATAGGTGAAATTACATAAAAACCACTATAACTAAAACTTAAGTAACAATTAATAATAACTAATAATTAGGGTCATGACAAGAGACTTAAATGCACATTGGTCCACATAAATAATAATCTTTCAAATTAACCCATCACTATTTCTTTACTCTAAAATACCCTCCATAATATATTTTTTATCAATTTCATCCATTATACTCTAACTTCCTTAATATTACACATTGACCCTGAATTTAAACAAAATATATCACATTAACCCGCATTTTAATATTTTTTTGAAAAAATATTTTTTTTTTTAGAAAATAAGTTTTTTTTCTGAATTTTTTTTTCGGCCAGATTCCGGCATTGATCAGGCGGGCGGTGTCCGGCGTTGACTTTTTATTTTTGAAAATATTTTTTTTCTGAATTTTTTTTTCGGCCGGTCAACCGTAGTTGACCGCCGCTCTCCAGCGTTGACTTTTTTTTTCGTTTTTGAAAAAAAAATTCTTAGAAAAATATATTTTAATTAATATTACAATATTGCCTACTAAATTACTGTCTCATACAATAATATTACTGTTTCAGACAATAATATTACTGTTTCAGACAGTAATATTACGAATATTATTTTCCCGAACCGTAATATTACTAATATTACAGTCCCAAACGGTGGTATTATTGCTTGAGACAGTAATATTACGGTCGAAGAAAATAATATTACAGTCGAAAACAACAATAATGCAGGCCAAGACGATAAAATAATTAATACAATAATATTATTGTCTCAGACAGTTAAATTATTGTTGGAGACAGTAATTTTGAACCAAGAAAGTAATATTAATTAAAATAATTTTTCTAGAAAAAAAAATTCAAAAAAGAAAGTCAATTAACATTTAAATTATTGTATCCGACAGTTAAATTACTGTTGAAGACAGTAATTTAGCAGCCAAGACAATAATATTAATTAAAATATTTTTTTAAGAAAAAAAATTCAATTAACAGTTAAATAACTATGGAGACAGTAATTTAGCAGTCAAGATAGTAATATTAATTAATATATTTTTTTTAAGAAAAAAAAGATTAATTAACATTAAATTACTCTCTCCGATAGTTAAATAACTACTGGAGACAGTAATTTAACAGCCAATACATTAATATTAGTTAAAATATTTTTTTTTTAGAAAAAACAAAATTTAAAAGAAAATCAAAGCCGGAGACCCTGCGATTGAGCTAGCGGAAAAATTTCAGACAAATAAAAAGTTTTGAAAAAAAAAAAGAGTCAACGCCGGAGACCGTGGGTCTATGGCGGTCTCCGGTGGTGGCGAGTCAAAATTGGGGTCAAAATTGAAATTATGGTCAAAAATTGGTTAATTGGTGAAATTGGGCTAAATTAGTTAGTCGAGGTATAATCGTGGAATTATTTTTTTATTTGGGGGGCAAAAGAGCAAAAATGACCAAAATTAGGGGCAAAGTACAGTTAACCCTACTTTTAATTCTCTGGTTTAATAATATAAGGTTAATAAAGTAATTTTACATGAAGTACGATGGAGTACGACCTTTGTACGATCTATTTTTACTGGGTTCGTACTTTAATTTACAAATCCATAGGTTCGTACTGGATCGTACTAGTTCGTACTTTAAATCAACGACTATAAATTTTTACTAAATATTTTCTACGCACCAGATTAAATCGTTTGGATCCGAGTAGTACAACTCCTCTCGGACCCTAGACAACCCCAAGTAACTAACCGTGTACTTAATCAAATCTACACTTCAAATCCAGATGTAGATTTGACATGGGTCCGGCAGGAGAGAATACTTACGAGGAAAGACAAACTTGAAGAAAAAAAAGAATATAATAATATAAAAAAAAATAGTAAATTGGTGAGTGGTGAGCCCCCACCATTCGTTATCGAAGGCACTATTCGTGGCTTATTTTTCTTTCCAACTTACCTCACTAATAAGACTTTGCAAAAATGAATATGATACTCCAATATGTCAATTTCTGCAACCAAACGCTATTTCCTATTCTCTCTCTCTCTCTCTCAACAAATTCCACACGCTTATAGTTATGGTATATATAATATATGTTACACTTGTATGCATTTTATATATAAATTTATAATCTCCCTCCCTCTTTCTCTCTCTAGGAATATGGTAAGAACTGGTGAAGGCGAAGGTGCACCACCACCACCACCACCACCACCGCCGCCGCCGCCACCAGCAGTGCCTTTGCCTGAATGTTGTATGTGTGGAGATTGTGGACTATCTTCTGAGATCTTCACATGTAAACACTGTCGATTTCGATCCCAGCACAAGTAAGTTGTCGAATTGATGTTCAGATATCAATCTTGATTTCTATACTCATTTTGTTTCACCGAGTTTATCTCGATTTCCACAATTGGTCATCCTTGTTCACGAAAAATTGATTTAGTCTTCTACTTTTGAAAGTATAACACTTGTGGTTAATTCTGTAAATTTTTTCGTTAGTACTAACGGATCAAGCATGTGACCATCACTGTTTTTAACTGACGGACTAACGATAAATTAACGTAAATGACCAAAAATGTTAGACTGATGAAACATAATGGACTAGATATGATTTTTTTTCTGAACAAGGAGGACCAACTGCGGAATCGAGGTAGACTTAAGGGACGAAAAGTGTACTTTCCTATAATTTCAAATTTCACATACATCTTAATAGGGATAAATATACTTTTTGCCCCTCAAGTTTACCCTAATTTCACATTTGGCCCCCTTGTTCACAAACAAATATATTTAGTTCGTGTCTCAACAATTTACCATTAGTCCGTCAGATAAGACACTGATGGGCAAGTGTTTGATTCTGCTAGCACTGACAAAAAATTGACGGAGAAGACCAAATGTGTCAGATTGTTGAAACATGAGGGACTAAATCTATTTTCTGTGAATAAGGAGGACCGAATGTAGAATTGAATTAAACTTGAGGGACTAAAGTGTAAATTTCTCCCATCTTAATATATGCTGCAGATATTGTAGCAATCTGTATCCAGAAGCTGAATCCTACGACACCTGCAATTGGTGCCTTAGCCAAATTAAGGATGTCAAGAAAAGTAGAGAAGAATCCAACACAAAGATCACATATCCTAAGTCAGCATCTCGCAGAACCACAAGTAGTACTTACCGTCAAAATCGAATAAAAAAGTCGAACAAAATTGATCATATCAAGAAGCAGAACAAGTTCTCGAACGATCGATTTAATGGCGGAATTATTACGAGGGCAAAGTCGTCCGAGGAGATATCTAATAACGGTGGCGGGATTATCATAAAACAAGTGTTTAGGAATAAGGTGAGAAGGTATAAGCTTTTGGATGATGTCTCAAGCTAGCTAGCTAACATATACATGAACAAAGCAATTTACAGCTATTACAGTTTTCATCCCTAAAGTTTTTTCCGATTTCATATTTGGTCCCATATGTTTAAAAAAACACAATCGGTCCCTCATGTATTAGTAATTTAACATTTTTGGTCATTTCTGTCAATGTACCGTTAGTCCGTCAGTTAAGGTAGAGATGTGGACACACTAAAAAATAGTGATCTTTTTAAACATGAGGGACCAAATATGTTTTTTGTAAACATAGTGGACCAAATGTGAACTCAGTGGAAACTTGAGGGATGAATATTTTATTATTTCCCCCTATACTAATACGTGTATGAGGTTTTGCTTGTATTTCATCTGTTTTCTTTCTCTCGTCCGACTAATTTTCTTTGGGAAAATTACAGTTTTGTTCCTTCAAATTTGTATCGATATCATATTTGCTCCCCATGTTCACATAAAAAAAAGAAAAAACAGTTGGTCTCTAATGTTTCAACAATTTAACACTTTTGGTCTTCTATGTCAATTTATCGTTAGTCCGTCAGAAAAGACAGTGATGTGCAACGAAAAATTTATGTAAAAGACCAAGAGATTGAATTTTTGAAACATGAAAGGCTAAATCTGTTTTTTTGTCAGCAAGAAGGACCAAAATGTGCAATCGAAGTAAACTTAAGGAACAAAAAGTGCATTTTTCCAATTTCCTTTATAAGACAAATTTTCCTATTCTTATTTTAATACAAATGGATACTGTAGGACTAAAATAATTTCATGGTGACAAATTAACAATAAATTAAAGTTGACAAGAAACCACTACCAAACTATTTATTTGTCTTAATTTGACAGCGTTTGTGCCACGCTCTTTTTTAAGATCATAATTGACTTTTTAGCATAACAAATAAAATTGAATCATTATGGAAATATCTAAGTAGTAGGACCCTAGATGTTAATCTGGTGTAACAAAATGAGCGATCTTGAACCATTGATCTATACATAATAATACACACTTTAAGAATCGACTTGATGAAATCCACTATTTTATATATCTCAAAAAGAAATGATCCATCGGGATCAAGTTTGCTATCCGATAATGGATCAGATTGCACCAATATCAAGCCTGTTTAGTGAATGATTATTTATATTGATCTATGATTCAAATTTCGATTTTTTTTATTTTTTTTCCACATTTCTCATTTTTTAGATCTTTTCAGCATTCCAAAATGCAAAATAATCGAATTATGAACCTCTAACATTCGTCTTCCGACCAACAAAATCCGTAAGTGTCCAAATCTTAGTCCAAGATTCTGTTACACCATTCTCTTTCATAATACAAATACATGTATCAATCATAGATGCATAACCAACCAAACTACCTCCCAAATCTCCCAAGCTTGCTTGAAAAGGAATCCAAGTCGAAAAATTCTCCGGCTTAGCCACAATTTCATATTTTTCCTCCACCAAATCAAGAGAAACAATATCAAGATCATCGCCGCCATACTGTGCCGCCAGCCAATGCCACAAACTTGTCGGAATAACTGGGGTAAATTGGGTTATTGGTCAAAATTGAATAATAGTCTAAAAATATTATTATTTTCTCAGCTTATAAATCTAATGCGTAGATGGTGATACTAAGCTTTCAACATAGACATCGGGCACAAAATTAGCACCAACCATATCAATTCGAAATTGACGCAACTTCTTTCTCCCGTTATAAACAACAATATACGATCCATAAGCCACTGCTATATCTCCATTCTTCGTGACCCACAACTCACCATAACCCGAACTTTTAGTCGTCCAAACCCTAGTCCAAGACTCTGCATCACCGTACTCGATCATAACCCAAACACTTGTACCTTTCTGGCGCTCGGGACAAATCAAACCGAGGTAGCCTCCCAAAGTTACCAATTTCGGTATATTACGCCCATAATTACTCATGTACTGTCGCGGACAAGGCACGATTTCAAATTTCTCGTCCGAAAAATTAAACGAAACTATATCCCACCAACCCCAAGCACGACGACTGTCAGTGGCTAGCCAATGCAGCTTTCCGTTCACGAGCTTGCCGGCGCCGGACCGACATCCCGGCGAACCCTTTTCGAAGTTATCGATTTTCTTCCAATAATTACCCTTCAAACTATACATCTTCGTCTGAAAGGGCTTCGAATGCAGGTAAAAACAGACAACCTTGTAGTCATCGTTCGCCTCATCGTACGCGAACCCGTACATGAATTCTCTAACGGATGAATCGCATCTTCCGTCGAAATACACCGACGGAATATGCTTGGCATCCGTGGTCGTGGGGTTCCATAGGAAGAGATGGCCTGTTTCAGCGAACATGAGAACTAGACCGTTGCATGCGCCCAAGATTCGAAAGTCGAAGCACCACTTTGCGAGCGGACGGTCAATAAGAATTTGGGTTCTCGGATTTTTCTCGTATGTCTCTTCGTATAAATATCCGAGGGAACACGATCCGAGGTTGTAGTAGTTAGTACTCTTGTCGTGGGATTTTACGATGATCTTGTGATGGGTGAAACGCGGGTCGGCGCTTGATTTCTTTAGGTGGCGCTTGACGAAATCTTTGTCGGTGATCATAGAAAGCCATGATTTCGAGACGCACTTGAATCTCAAAAGAGATTTCACTGGCAAATTGTATAAGATTTGATCTATTATTTCCACAGGAATATGATTTCTGTTATTTCCCATTTATCTGGAAAGAATCTGTATTTGATTCTGAAAGCACGAATTCACTCACCTTAAAATAGATGGTATTTTAGTTATTATCTCTAAAGGAAAGGACTGGCTAATTTTTAGGAGAAAAATCAGAAAGAAAAGTTATTTCTTACTCGCAGGTGAAAGGACCAATTCTCACTTCTTTCGTGCGGCGGAGCCAGTACAGGATCAGAGGAGCTTGGCCCCCACAAGAATTCTGGAGTCACTATTTTTTATGTAAATATTTAGAAAAAATATTGTTTAATTGGGACAGAGGGGCTATGGCCCCCACAAGAATTCTCGAGTCACTATTTTTTATGTAAATATTTAGAAAAAATATTGTTTAATTGGGATTATATATCGGCACCCATCATACAAGTTTTAATACATTCGGCCCCGCAAATTTAAAATCCTGGCTCCGCCAGTGAGTGATGGTAAGACACAAAAAAACCATGAAAATGCATATGCTTCTACGTCTCGTTATTATCAAATCCCATGTATTTCTCTCCATCGAAACAAAGAAATTAAATAAGAATAAGGTGTTTGTCCCTCAAGTTTGCATCGATTTCACATTTGGTACTCCATGTTGGGAAAAAAACACATTGGGTCCCCCGGGTTTCAGGAATTGAACATTTTTAGTCATTTTTATCAAATTTTCCTATAGTACTAACATAATCAAGCGTGTGCCCATCGCTTTCTTAACGGCGGACTTGCAGTAAATTAATGGAAACGAAGAAGTTTCGCATACCCATGACGAGATTTCTAAGGCAAAAGCTAATCAACACGAGCTAAAGAGATAATCAATAAACACACCAAAAAATAAAACATAGAGTAAAATACAGTTTTTATATCTCAAGTTTGTACCGATTTTACATATGGTCTCATATTCACAAAAAGAACATTTGGTCCTTTATGTTTCAAAGATTCAACATTTTTAGTCTTTTCCATCAATTTTCCGTTAAAACTAACGGAATCAAGCTTATGCCTATCACTGCCTTAACTAACGTACTAACGATAAATTGACGAAAATGATCAAAAGTATTAAATTACTGGAACACGAGGAACCAAATGTATTTTTTGTGAACATAGAGGTCAAATGTGAAATTAGTGCAAACTTGAGGGATGAAAACTGTAATTTCCCTTAAACACATACTTCCAAACTACTCAACCATATCAAGTATGATATCACTTAAAAAAAAAGTTGAAACCAAGAGTACCGTGCAGCGTCCGGAAATTCAAAATACCGAAGTTCAAAAAAATCTTACTACGTTACGAACTACGTTTTTTTCTTTATCACCAAAAGAGGAAAATCAAAAATCGAAAGGTAAACCGAACCAACGTTTGAGAAAGCACGCCTCCGGCCGGATAATACGTTGATCACAAGAAACCTTCTTCTTTATCACCAAATGGCGAAACTAAGCTTTGAACACTTACAACGGCCCTAAACAAATCGTCAATGGCAGCGGCCCGAGACTCGTGCAACTTGTTTTTTCCATTGCAAAGATCTACACACGGTCCGAAAGTAACTAAGATATCTCCATTACTCTTCAAAAATAACGGCATTGCGCCTCTAACATACGTCTTCGGATCAGCAAAATCCGAAAGTGTCCAAATCTTAGTCCAAGATTCTCTCACGCCGTACTTTTTCATAACCCAAACATATGTATCCAACATAGGCGCGTAACTAACCAAACTAAGATACCCTCCCAAATCTCCCAACATCGTTTGATACGGAATCGAAGTCGAAAAATTCTCCGGTTTAGGCACGATTTTATATTTCTCCTCCGCCAAATCAATAGAAACAATATCAAGATCACCACCACCACCACCACCATATTCCACCCGCGCCGCCGCCGCCTCCGCCGCCGCCTCCGCCAGCCAATGCAGCTTCCCACTCACAAACTTGCCGGGATCATCCAACGGAACAAGACCCTTTTTGAAATTCTCGACTTTCTTCCAAGAAAGACTCTTGCAACTGTAGATTTGCGTCGTGTAGGATTTCGGATTAGTGACGTCATCAATGCACACAACCTTGTAGTCGTCGGTCGACTCGTCGTAACCCAACCCATATACAATATGATCCCCAAGATATCTCTCTTTAGGGTTAGAAGCCGGAATTTCATTCGACTTTGTAGTTGCAACGTTTAATAGAAATATCATACCTTCCGCATTCGAAGTGATGAGAGCTATCCCGTCACACGATCCCCATATTCGAAGGTGGCACCGGTTACTTTCCCGCCGGGGAATGTGGGCGTCTATAACCGCGGTGGTGCCCTCGAGCAAATACGGAAGACTATACGAACGGGTTTGCTCGCCCTGTAAGTACCTGTGTTTGAATTTCATGGTGATCATATGATGGGTGCAGTTAGGGTTTGTACTCGCTTTCTTGAGGTGCTCTTTGATGAACTCTTTGCTGGAGATGATGGAACGCCATTGTTTCGACACGCACTTGAATCTCAACAGGGATTTCACCGGTAGATTCGGCAATATCTTGTAGATTATTTCTTCCGGAAGATTCATGGTTTCTCTCTTGATTTCTTGTTGACTTAAGAATATTGTAACCCTATTTGATTTCTTGTTAACCTAATAATATTGTAACCCTATTTGAACGTGACCTAGCAGAATATTCCAATATCTTTGAAAGAGACGTGGCGGTGGCTCAATTAAATTATGGGTAAATTAGGACTCTAATTCGCCCTAATATACGATTCCATATATAACAAATTATTCCCTCTCAAGAAGTGAAACACTTATTTTGGAATACAAAATATTAAATTTAAATTGTTTTTGTATCATGAACAAATATCAAATTTAAATAAATATTTGGTTAAATAGTACTTAACCCCTTGTGGTTACAATCTTTCGCAGATGACCCCCTTGTGCTTGTAATATTAGCACATAACCCCTTTGTGATTTAGGGGTAGCTTCCGTTAGTTTTTCCAGATATAATATATTTTAGTTTACGGTAAATAGCATTTTGTCATCTGTATTTTGCTTATTTTTGCACATTGACAACTTAACGAAAGAAATTTGTTGCCATCTCTATTTTGCCTATTTTTGCACATTGACAACTTAACGAAAGAAATTTGTAAGGGCGCGCTCAAACTCGTTATTTCGAGCCATTTAACCACTTAACTACTTACTTCCAAATTTTCGTCTGAAAATTAGACTTAGATGGTTAAGTGGCTCGAAATAACAAGTTTGGGTGTGCCCGTGCAACTTATTTTTTTGTTAAGAAGACAATGTACAAAATTAAACAAAGAGTAAAGGTAGCAAAATGCTATTTACCCTTTAGTTTATGTTAAAGTCTACAAAATTATGATGCTATTTTTTCGGAAAAAAACATATTCCAAGAAAATCAAGAGCCCTGCGTTCAAGACCCCGTAAAACTTCTCGATCCCCAACCTAAATTTTTTGGTTCCGCCCTGTTTGGATAGTTCGTTTAGCAACAAGGTTCAAATTCGAAACTCTTTTGATAAACAAAATCAAAGTTTAACTCCGCATGGAAATTGGCTGATCCATGTTTACGATCAGGTGTATTTCACCAGATATCCAATAGATTTTTATTGTGTGTACACACTCGGAATTCTTCGAGTAATTTTCAGAATTAGTACCAGTTAATATTGTTCAATGGAGCACCAGTCAAAAACACTATACATTTAATTAGGACAAGGTAATTTATATATTACATAAGGAGAAGCTCGCAATTCATACAGTAAACAAGATTAGATTAACTTCATGGACGACAACCAACAATTCATGCCTGTATGCAACGCACAACTCTACTCCTTCACAAACAAAATTATAACCAAGAACTCATCAAAGGGCTAAATAAATTAAAAAAAAATAAAGTATCCCGATTCTTCAATAAAAACCAATAAAAACGTGAACAAACATTAACGACAAGTAAAAAAAAAAGTTTAGCTTAAATTATGAGAACCCCTAACCCCTGAAAAATAAGGCCTGATTACGAAAACCCCTCTGACCAGCGTTTGACCGTTTAAATTCACAGAAAATGTGTTTTTTTTCCGGTTGTCAGTGTGTCTTAGCCTCGTAGGCATCGAAATAACTTTGCCATTAATGTTAATCTACTACTGCGAGCTTCCTCTTCCGCTTCCTCTTCGGTTTCGGTTTCTCAATGGGGAAGTAGAAACTCTCGATATATGGAACCGGACCCATCTCAAGGAGCAAAAGCTGTGTATCGGCCTTCAATTTTTTCAAACCTCTTCTCAGAAGGGCTATAACTAACTAATATTTTATGATATACTTCAAACACGATCTTATTTTCGACAAAAAATAGTGGCCGCAAATATTCCAACATGTCACATTGAACAGTCATCAACTCCTTCCAAGAATTACTGTCTATGCCATTTTCCTTTGTCCAAATTTGAACCTTGGTTGCCGCGCAGAAATAGCCATACACGCACAAAGAGCTCCTCAAATTAACCAAGAAAATTCGTTCGCAATCCTCTAATTTTTCCGGCTACTGCAACATCTTGAACTTGTCATCTCTCGGATCGTAATAAATTATTTTTCTACGCTTCCAAACCCAACCCAATAGCTCGCACCGTCAACACACACACCGGCCGGTCTACTATCCACTAAACCTTCACCATAGCCTTCAATTTCGTATTCTTCTTTCATCGTTATCCAGGATTTGTTCTTACAAGAATAAACGGAGTAGTAGTCCCAATCCGCAACAACAACCTTGAAATCGTCCGTGTTTGGATCACGACAAAGCCCAAAAACCGCGTCACTGCAGCGATACCGATGCCAAAGCTTTTCGGCTGTTCGAGTGGATGGATTCCACAACACAAGTCTCCGGTTTGTACCGCTGGTTAAGAGTATCATCCCTCCACAAAAGCATGATACCGACTCACAACCAAAGGGGGCTTCAATTTCTACAGGTAGGGTTTGGAATTTTTTATCTTCCAATTTAACCATGGAAAATTGGAAGGGAGAAGTCTCGTACGTAAGACATAGAACAAGGTTCGGCGAGTTCGAATACCTTGATCGACGGATATGATTTTCGACGAAGAGGTTTAACTGATAGTTTCGACAGAATAATTTCTATGATTTCCGGTGGAAGATCTGATTTATCATCCGCCATGGTTTCAGAGTTTGTAGGCGGCGTGAATTTGTGCACCATGTGTGTTATATATAACGTACAATTCCAGGGTTATTGATTCTGCAAAAGAGTTGTATGGAATTTGGTAGGGGTGTGCACGGGTCAGTTCGGTTTGGTTTTAGCCAAAAACCGAACCGAACCGAATATATCGGTTTTTGTAAAATTAAAAACCGTGTATGTCTGTTTTTTATCGGTTCGGTTTCTTTCGGTTTCGGTTCGGTTTCGGTTTTTTTCGGTTCGGTTTCGGTTATTTTTCGGTTCAAGCGTAACTATATATTCAAGTTGTACAAACAAAATAATACAATTACAATTACTTTCACAACTTACTAATGCAATGAAAATATAAAATCTTTAATTTCATAGGACTTAACGTAATTTATAGATGATGTATTATGCTTCTTTTTTTTTCCTACTTTTATCTACCACATTATTAAAACCATGAACTCAAGTAAATTTTTAATTACTAAATAAATAAAATACAATGTCTCAATTTATGAACAAATGCTTAGAATGAGACAAATAATTGAAAGATAGAAAATAAATATTAGGGTAAAATAATACATATATTATATAAAATGAAGTCATTTTATAGTTTCGGTTCGGTTCGATTTTTCGGTTCGGTTATTTACCTTTCCACCATACCGAACCGAATAATTCGGTATTTCAAAAATAAAAAACCGTACATGCGGTTTGCTATTCGGTCCAGTTTAAAACGGCTCGGTTTTTCGGTTTTTCGGTTCGGTTTTTCGGTTTTTTTGCTCACCCCTAGAATTTGGCTTATGTAGCTAATTAGAAGATTATTTTTCCTTTATCTTTGAAAAGAGATTAAATTCTGAGTGGATCAGCAGATATTTAATATAAATCCCACTAATTTTTTGATATGTGGCACTAAGTCTTAACTCTTAATAAATCACTAATTTTTTGACATGTGGCACGTACTAACTCTTAATAAATCACTAGACATGTGACACTAAGTCTTAACTCTTAATAAATCATTATGGGTTATGTTGGAGTTAAATTTTTTTTTTCAAATTATTAGAATTCTAATTATATTTTTATTTAAACTATCCACGTGTCAATCATTCTATCACATTCGATTTTCCTATTAAAACAGACCATTCGGTCTAAATTTGCACCCCTTTCAAAATATTGTTCCAAAAATAATAGGGGTTTCAAAATATTGTTCCAAAAATAATAAGGGTAAATTACACCTACACCCCTAAGTTATGCTAAAATAAATTGAAGGTCGCTGGAGTATTGGTAATTACAACCACTCCTGAAATATTGTTAGAAACCCTAACGGAATAATGTATTGGATAAGTTATTTTGTTAGGGTTCTAACGGTCTATTAATTTCAGGCCGTGGTGGAGACAACATAGAGCTAGGTGTTGACATGGCGCATCTAACATTTTTCCAATTCTTATTATTTTTTATATAAGATTTATAAATTTATGTCTATGGTAGCATTAACCCCACCGAAAACAAATATAATGCATATCGATTCCCAAAACATGAAATCTTGTGCTTGTAATACCAGCACATAACCCCTTGTGATTTAGGAGTTGCTTCCGTTAGTTTTTTCATATATAATATATTATAGTTTATGATAAATAACATTTTGCCATATGTATTTTGCCTGTTTTTGCACATTGCCGCCTGTTTTTGCACATTGCCACCTTAACAAAAGAAATTTGCACGAGCGCGCTCAAACTCGTTATTTCGAGCCACTGAATCTCTTACTTCCAATTTTTTCAAGCGATCATTGGAATATTCTGGCGTACACACGAGGCACATGTGCTGAAATATTTCAATATTCGTCTGAAAATTAGACGTAGATGGTTAATATTGTTCAACATATATTTAGGACAAGGGTAATTATATATTACATCAGGAGAAGCTCGCAATTCATACAGTAAACAAGATCAGATTACCTGGACGACAACCAACAATTCATGCCTGTATGCAAGAACTGAAAGGGCTCAATAAACTACCACAGCAAAAAAAAAAAAAAAAAATATATATCCCCTCTTTTCAAAAAGAGAATCGACTTGTTATGCGTGGATCAAAAGAATCTTCGACACTGAACTAGATCCTACACGAAGAGACGAGAAAAACAAAATAGAGACGGACTATATATCTATCGAAAAAAAAAATAGAGACGGACTATATATCTATCGAACGCTTCCGTTTCCACTTCCTATTCGGTTTCTCAATGGGGAAGTACATACTCTCCATATATGGAACCGGAACCACTCCACCGCGAAAAAGTAGTTTGTAATCTTCACTTTCTTCAAGCCTCTTCTCACAAGGGTTGTAAATTATTAATTCATCGTCAGTTACTCGGAATAAAATCTTATTTCCCACAGAACATAGTTGAAACAATGACGAATTCGACATATTATATTCAACGGTTATCAACTCCTTCCAAGAATTATTGTCTATGCCATTTTCCTTCGTCCAAATCCGAAACTTGAATTTGCCAAAGAGATTGCAATACAAACACAAGGAACCCCTGAAATTAACCAAGTAAACAATTTTGCTCTCCCCTAAATTTTCCGGCTTACCCAAAATCTTGAACTTGTCGTCTCTCGGATCGTAATACACTATTTTGGTAACATACATGTCACTCCAAAACCAATAGGTAGCCCCGTCAACACAGACTCCTTTCGGTGTATTATTCTTCATTGGATTTAGACCTAAACCGGTGTATTCAACTTCGTATTCCCTTTTCATCGCTATCCAGGATTTGTTCTTACAAGAATAAACCGAGTAGTCGTACCAATCCGCAACAACAACCTTGAAATCGTCAGTGTTTGGATCTCGGCAAAGCCCGAAAGCCGCCTTCCTGCAGCAATTCCGATGCCAAAGCTTTTCGGCTGTTCGAGTGGACGGATTCCACAACACAAATTTCATGCATGCACGGTTGGTTAAGAGTAGGATGCCATCACAAAAGCATAATACCAACCCACACCCAAAGGGGGCTTCTATTACTACTGGTAGGGTTTGGAATTTTTCGTCATCGTCGAATTCAACCACGGAAAACCGGATTGGAGAACTCGACCTCACACGACATAGAAAAAGATTCTGCGAGTTCGATTCCTTAGATTTTTGGATATGATTTTGGACGAATACAGGATCTGTGATTATAGTATTCCATGACTTGGAAACTGATTTGAATCGAAGAAGAGATTTAACTGATGATAATTTTGATAGGATAATTTCTATGATTTCCGGTGGAAGATGTGATTTATTATCAGCCATTGTTTTGGAGTCTGTTGGCGGCGTGGATATATTTGCAGCATGTTTGTGCATATATACAATTCCGTGAGTTACCGGTTCTGCAACAGAGTTTGTATGGTATTTTGCTTTTTCCTTTTCTTTTGAAAATATTGTAGTTTATAATATTTATAAGAAAAAAAATTCTCAATTTTCCATAATTACATCCGTCCCCTTGCAATTTGTAGATTTCTTACATTAGGGTATTGAGTGTAAAAAAATTTATAAAATATAGAGGTTGGATTTAATTTCACTAAAAGAATGGATTTTTTTCATAATAACACTTTATGTTAGAAAGGTGGTTGTAATTTACCTTTGAAAATATAGTTCCAAAAAAAAAATAGAATATACAACCAATTCCAAAGTCTGAAATTTTGTACATTTTCTCTTATTCATGTAAAGTCTAAAAAAAAAAAAGGATAAATATCAATTAATTCCCTGTGGTTACAAGTTTTTCTAGATGACCCATTTTTCTTATAATATCAACAAATAAACTCCTTGTAGTTTTGTTAGTTTTTCCGTCAAATTTAATCGCGTGTGTCAAAATTCAAGGGGTCATCTGCAAAAAAAAATAAAAGGAAAATGAAAGCACAAGGTGGTCATCTGCAAAAGAAAAAGGGAAAATGAAAGCACAAGGGGGTCATCTGCAAAAAAAAAAGGGAAAATGAAAGCACAAGGGGGTTATCTGCAAAAACAATTACGGCAGCTAAGTTTGATGGAAAAACTAACGAAATCTATCTCCATCAACCACGTGGGAGTTATGTGTTGATATTACAAACACAATGGAGTAAAAGAAAACACGATCCTCTCCGCTCGCTATCCGCAGGTATCCGCTCCGTTTAAAACCCGCTACCGAAACTATTAGGGTTTGATAATGATTTTGGTAAAAGAAAAACAAACCGTCATGGTTTTGGTAGGGTTATGATTTTACATCTATGGTCATGGGTACCCGATCATTTAATATATATATATATATATATATATATATATATATATATATATATATATATATATATATATATATATATATATATATATATATATATATATATATATATATATATATATATATATATATATATATATATATATATATATATATATATATATATATATATATATATATATATATATATATATATATATATATATATATATATATATATATATATATATATATATATATATATATATATATATATATATATATAGCTAAATCTTAAATAAAATATTAAATAATTTAGGAATGATATATTTGTATAATTTACTTTTTTTTCTTTTCTTTTTTTCTTCCTTTTTTTTGAGAGTTGCTTAAACGTTATCGGATTCGAAGTCAGGTTTTGGTATGCTTTTGATTTGAGTTATATTAAATGGTAATGGTTCTGATATTACACTTTTTCGAGGGTATCCTCCGTTGCCATCCCTACCGCAAGCTCAATGTGCCAAACACTCGCGGTTTGTGCGAGTGGGCATCTGATTTTGGACCAAAAAAAGACCCAAATACAACAAATTTATCCAGGATTTTTTACAAGCCCAAAGTGAAGTTTTTAGAATTTTCAGTTCAATCCCTAATAATATCAGAAAAACCTCTCTCCAAATTGCATAGTACTAAATTGCAATTTTTATAACTTCTTAAAACCTAATCATCTTTTTTCTCCCTCTTTTCCTTTAGATGGACTACTTTGAAAAAAAAATAAAGGGAAGGGGTTTTATCACCTCTTCATAATCACAACTTCAGCAACAATAAATTAGAAAAAATGAACGGTTGGAGCAAGTGAAGTCTGTATGAATTGATCCAGGTTTGAATTCTCTTGTCAATGGTCGCTAGTTCGATCTTGTCACACATAGTTAGCCTAGTGTGGTTTACATCTCTCATATGATTTGCAAGCTATTATACGAGAGTGTTGGCTTATCCAGTGCACCTAAAAGGTAGTCTGCGGGTTCCTTCATTGCTAACAAATGAAGGAATGGGTTTTATAATTTTTGTTTCTTTTCTTCGTTGCGATTTAAGAAAGCAGCCGGCCGTCCTTCGGTTTCTCCAACTGGTTTTTGCAAGAAAAAGTCACCGCTGAGAAGATGGCTTTTTTGGAAGCATGAATGATTGAATTAAAAATTATAAAATTTTCACTTCAGTACTGAAACTTTTGGGGTGAATCCGTAATTTTAGAAATTTACAATTTAAAGGGTATTTAAAATCTTTTAGGTCAAAAAACGCACCGCCACTCGTATATATGGCGAGTAGCGCACGGTAAACTGTCAGGGACCTCTTTTAACTTTGACTAAAACTTCTCGACCCCCAACCTAATTTTTTTGGTTCCACCCTCCTTGGATAGTTCGTTTAGCAACAAGGTTCCAATTCTAAACTCTATTTTGATAAAACAAAATTAAAGTTAACTCCCCATGAAAATTGGCTGATCCATGTTTAATATCAGGTGTACACACTCGGTATTCTTCGAGTAATTTTCAGAGTTAGTACCAGTTAATATTGTTCAACGGAGCACAGTAAAAAACTATACATTTTGGACAAGGTAGTTTGTATAAGGAGAAGCTCACAATTCATACGGTAAACAAGATTAGATTAACTTACTGGACGACAACCAACACAGGCGGTTAAGTTTGCCAGAAAAACTAACGGAAGCTACCCCATCAACCACAACGTAAACAGACATTAATGAAAAGTAAATAAAAATAAAAAGTTTTAGTTTAAATTACAAGAACACCAGAAATAAGGCCTGATTACGAAAATCCCCATGTTTGCGTGATAACAAAAATCCCCTTTGACCGTTTAAATTCGCAGAAAATGCGTTTTTTTTCGTTTGTCAGTATGTCTTAGCCTCTTAGGCATCGAAATAACTTTGACATTAATGTTGATCTACGGTTCCTCTTCCACTTCCTCTTCGGTTTCGGTTTCTCAATGGGGAAATAGAAACTCTCGATATATGGAACCGGAACCATACCAATGCACAGAAGCCGTGTATCATCTTCAAATTCTTCAAACCTCTTCTCAGAAGGGCTATAAATAACTAATCTTTTAAAATCTACTCGAAACACGATCTTATTTTCGACAAAAAAATATAGTGGCTGCAAGTATAGAAACTTGTCACATTGAACCGTCATCAACTCCTTCCAAGAATTACTGTCTATGCCATTTTCCTTTGTCCAAAATTGAACCTTGTCTGCGGCATAGAAATAGCAATACACGCACAAAGAGCTCCTCAAATTAGCCAAGTAAATTTGTTCGCAATCCTCTAGTTTTTCCGGCTTCTGCAACATCTTGAACTTGTCATCTCTCGGATCGTAATAAGTTATTTTTCTATTATTCCAAACCCAATAGCTCGCCCCGTCAACACACACAACGGCCCGTCTACTATCCACTAAACCTTCACCATAGCCTTCAATTTCGTATTCTTCTTTCATCGTTATCCAGGATTTGTTCTTACAAGAATAAACGGAGTAGTAGTCCCAATCCGCAACAACAACCTTGAAATCGGGCGTGTACCGCAGGTTAAGAGTATCATCCCTTCACAAAAGCATAATACCATCCAACAGCTAAAGGGGGCTTCAATTGCTACAGGTAGGGTTTGGAATTTTTTATCTTCCAATTTAACCACCGAAAATTGGATAGGAGAAGTCTGGCTCGCACGACATAGAATAAGGTTATGCGAATTCGATTCCGTAGATTTTTTGACATGATTTTGGACGAATACAGGATCTGTGATCATAGTATTCCATGACTTTGAAACTGATTTGAATCGAAGAAGAGATTTAACTGATAGTTTCGACAGAATAATCTCTATGATTTCCGGTGGAAGATCTGATTTATCATCCGCCATGGTTTCAGAGTTTGTAGACGGCGTGAATTTATATATATATACACACGTACAATTCCAGGGTTATTTATTGATTCTGCAGGAGAGTTGTATGGAATTTGGCTTGTGTATTTAAGGGAAAATTACATTTTTCGTCCTCATACTTTACTCACTTTTTCAAAACTGTCCCTAAACATTTTGGAGTTACAATAGTAGTCCTTAATCATGCCATTTTTTGACAGAATTGGTCCGCCGTTAATTTTTGCCGTTAAGTTGGATGGAAAATGGCATGTGCCTCTCACATGCCTTCAATTTACAACACTACATGAAAATGGACTTTCAACAACACGCATTGCGTCTTGTTAAAACATATTTTTTATAATTATTATTTTTAATTAAAATTTAATATAAAATCGAAATCACGTAAATTCCAAAAAAATCAACTCATTTCGGAAATATTATTTAAAACATCAAAATATAGTTTAAAAATTTAAAATATTGTTCCAAAATCGGCATTTTTGGAATTCAATTAAAATATATCGTTTCAAACCAAAATAAAAAAACCCCATAGGAATTGGGAAATTAGAAATCTCCATTCCAATTTTCACCTCTAGACAATTCCAAAAATCTCAATTGTGAGACAATATGTCGAGTTTTAAATCATTCAATAAGGGTGAAAATTGGAAAGGATTTTTCTTATGCCGCCTAGTTTGATCGAATTTTTATTTTATTTTAAAATAATATTTTCATTCAATTTCCAAAAATTCCGATTTTAAAACACAATAATATTTTTTTAAACAATATTTCTGAATTTATTTTGAAAAAAAATATCGAGTTTTAGATTATTAAATAAGGGTGAAAATTGGAACGGAGTTTTCTTACTCCGCCTATTACGATCAGATTTTTATTTTATTTAAAACAATAATTTTCATTTGGATTCAAGAAATTCCGGTTTTAAAACATTATATTATTATTTTAGACAATGCTTCTAAAAATATTTTGAAACAATTTATCGAGTTTTACATTATGAAATTAGGGTGAAGATTGAAATGGAGGTTTCTTATCCCACCTATGCGGATCGAATTTTTATTTTATTTTGAAACAATGTTTTCATTTGAATTCCGAAAATCTTGATTTTGAAAGCAATATTTCATTTTTTAAAACAATGTTTCAATTGTTTAAAGAATATTTCTCAAAATAATTTAAAACAATATATATCGATTTTGTTTTTTTGGAATTTATATAATTTCGAATTTCAATCAAGTTTTAATTATGAAAATTATGTTTTAACAAGACGCAATGCGTGTTGTTGAAAGTCCATTTTCATGTAGTGTTTTAAATTGAAGGCATGTGAGAGGCACATGCCATTTTCCATCCAACTTAAGGGCAAAAATTAACGGCGGACCAATTCTGTCAAAAAATGGCATGATTAAGGACTACTATTGTAACTCCAAAATATTTGGGGACAACTTTGAAAAAGTGGGTAAAGTATGAGGACGAAAAATGTAATTTTCCCTGTATTTAATTAGAAGATTATTTTTCCTCTATCTTTCCAAATATTGTTCCAAAAATAATAAGGGTAAATTACACCAATACCCCTAAGTTATGCTAAAATAAATTTTCGTCTAAGTGTATGTCGATCGGTCCTCAGGACATAAAATCTTGGCTCCGATAATTGTTTCAAAAGTATAGCTGTAATTACACATGGACTTTAAAATTATTTTAGCATATCTCAGAGGTGTACGTGTAATTTACCAAACTAGTAATTCACCCGTGCGATACACGGGATCAATTTAAAAAAAATATATATTTTGGATAAAATAAAACGAACGAAAACTTTGAACAGTTGACATACATGTAAATAATACCAAAAAAAAAATGTTTTATTGCATCAAAATATTCATTTGTTTGTGATTTAATTACCTTCATATTCGCTGAAAATCTTTTGTGCACACAACATTGCTCGTAATTTTAGTTATATCTCCCGAATCTGAGTTGATAAATATCTTTATCTCAAATCTACTTTTAACTCTGGACATTGCGGTGTACAATTGCCTATCCACCTTAATATTAACACTAATATTACACTAACAACAACTACTACTACTAATACTAAAACCAACATTGATAATACTAATACCAATACTAATATTAATACTAAAACCAACACTAATAATAGTAATATTAATATTAATCCACCCGCAAGGGTGGCCTAGCGGTTGGAGCAAGAGAGCTTGTGTCAATTGACCCAAGTTCGAATCCCCTTGCCAACGGTCGCTAGGTCGAGCTTGTCACACATGGTTAGCCTAGTGTGGTTTACATCTCTCGTATGGTTTGCAAGCTATTATACGAGAGTGTAGGTTTACCCAGTGCACCTATATGGTTGGCTGCGGGTTCCTCCATCACCAAAAAAAAAAAAAATATTAATATTAATCCTAATATTAATACGAGCCAATACTAATAACAAAACTAATACTAATACTAATACTAATGCTAATGTTAATACTAATACGCCAATACTAATAACAAAACTAATATTAATACTAATACTAATGTTAATATTAATACTAATACTAATACTAATACTAATACTAATACTAATGCTAATGTTAATGCTGACTTGCGTAGATTGTACAAGCTCGCTCCCTTGTAGACAACATGGGGAGTTAATGTGAGGGGGAGTACCCTATAGGTACTTAGTATCCAGAAGATACCCTGATGCCCTATTGTACTCTTTTTCCTTCGTGCGATGTTTATTTTTCCCAAAGGGTTTTCGTTAACCGCCAAGGTTTTAACGAGGCAACATATGTTGATTGAAAAGATTGTGTGTTGTACTCTTTTTCCTAACCGATGTTGTTTTTTTCCCATTGGGTTTTATTACTCGGAAGGTTTTAATGAGGCAACATGAAAAGCACAATAGTGGTTCGATAGGAATCCCCAAGGGGGAGTGTTGTAAATAATATATAATGTGGTTATTCCTATCTTAAGCCACTCGGAGTTTATAACTCCCCACTACGCCACTATAGATTCTTAACTTACCCATTATCCCATAACTCCTCCATCCATGATCTATGTAGGGTATAACTTCCGTGTAACTCTCGTAACTTCCGGTGGTTTGCACCTATATAGATGAGAATCTCAATGATCCACAATTTTCTCTCTACGGATTGTTGTTTTTGCTTTCTCTCTTTGTCTTGTTATTTATATTCTTATGTATTTCCACAAACACAAACCAAAGAGCTAGATAAATAAGCCATTTTACAACAATTAATAAGAAATAAAATATTTAATGAGTATAGTAAATTAAAAGAAAAATGGGTTTAATACGTAAAACCATTAAAACACAGAAAAATAGTATTTTTTAAGTATTAAAATTAATAAAAAACTAATAAAATAATTAAAAATTAAAAAACCCGGGTTGACCCCGGTTGAACCGGTCCAACCGTGACCCAAATGCCTAGCCGGTTTTGTGTTCGGTTCGGTTATGATAACGTTGCATTGAAGTTTGAAGGAAAAACTAACGAAAACTACCCGTCAACCACGAGGGAGTAATGTGCTGATATTAGAAGTATAAGAGGTCATCTGCAAAATCTTGTAATAACCAAAGGTAGTAGGATGCCATCACAAAAGCATAATACCGACCATAGCCAAAGAGGGCTTCTATTACTATTTCTAGGGCTTAAAATTTTGTACAAAGCATATCAAGTGTTTGCTTGATACTATAAACTGCCAACTAACTGTGTACTGATTAGAAGTAAGAAGCATATATGAATTTATAACACATACTTTTTATATACAAGAACTGAAACAGCTAAATAAATTGCTGCAGGAGAAACCAAATAAATCCCACGTCTTCGAAACAAGAATAGACTGTAATTTCACTGTCTAACATGAGGGAGGGGTCTCTAATTTCACTATCTAACAGGGGTCCAAGTGAAATTAACCCCATCACATGAATGGCAAAAATAAATACAAGGGAAAATTGCACATCACCTCCTATAATTTTTTTATTTTCGCACTTTACGCCCTCAAAATTTTTAAAAGTGAATGCCCCCTACAAAATGTTATTCTTGTTGCAGGTTCCCCCGATAGCAAAATTCCGAGCGATTATTCACTGGAACTCAGTATTTTTATTACACGTTGCTCCTTTAAATGTTATTTTTGTTGCACGTTGCTCCTCCTTGAAACACTATTTTTTTGCACGTTGCCCCTTTAAGTTTTTATTTTTATTGCACAATGCCCTCCAAAATTGGCTTCCGGGGCAAAGTGAAACCAAAATGGTATTTCAAAGGGGAGTATCCCTTTTAGAATTTTTAGGGTGAAAAGTGCAAAAATGGAAAATTTATAGGGAGTGAAGTGCAATTTTTCCTAAATACAACAAAATAAATATCATTGGAATATCTCTGACACTGAACTAGATCATGTATGAAGAACATAAAACATAACTCACTCAGTGTGACACTAAACTATGAAATGCTAAATAATACTCTATTGCAAACACTTTCGCTTCGTCGTCGGCTTCGATTTCTCAATGGGGAAGTACAAACTCTCCACATATTGAATCGGAACCGCTGCAACGTCCAAAAGCTGTGAGTCCTTATCAAATTCTTCAAACCTCTTCTCGCAAGGGTTGTAGATTACTAATTTCTCACAATCTTTTCGGAATACGATCTTATTTTGGATAAAACATAGTGGCTGCAACACCGAATACATCGACACCCTGTCATATTTAACACTTATCAACTCCTTCCAAGAATTATTATCAATGCCATTTTCCTTTTCCCAAATCCGGATCGTGTTCTTGTCCAAGCCACGGAAATCGCAATACACGCACAAAGAGCCCCTCAAATTAACCAAGAAAATAAATCGTGTATCGTCTGTGTTTTCCGGCGTATCCATCATCTTCAACTTGTCATCTCTCGGATCATAATACATTATTCGAGTAACGTATTCGAAACTCCAAACCCAATAGCTAGCCCCATTAACACAGACTCCTCTCGGATGGCTGTCCTTTAGACCTAAACCGGCGTTTTCAATTTCGTATTCTTTTGTCATCGTTATCCAGGATTTGTTCGTACAAGAATAAACTGAGTAGTAGTACGGAGCCACGACAACAACCTTAAAATCGCCGGTGTTTGGATCACGACAAAGCCCAAAAGCTGCATACCTACAGCTTTTTTTATGCCAAAGCTTTTCCGCTGTTCGAGTTGATGGATTCCACAACACAAGTCTCTGGTGTGTACTGTCGATTAAGAGTAGTATGTCATCACAAAAGCATAATACCGATATACATCCAAAGGGAGCTTCTGTTACTACCGGTAGGGTTTGAAATTTATTATCTTCCAATTTAAACGCGGAAAACCGGATAGAAGAACTCGTAATCGAACCACTTAGAAAAAGCTTATGCGAGTTCGATTCCTTAGATTTTTGGATTTGATTTTGGACGAATACGGGATCGGAGATCATAGTACTCCATGACTTTGAAACTGATTTGAATCGAAGAAGAGATTTAACTGATAGTTTCGATAGGATAAATTCTATGATTTCCGGTGGGAGATCTGATTTATCATCAGCCATGGTTTTGGAGTTTGTTGGCGGCTTCGATTTGCAGCAGGTTTGTGCATATATATATATATATATATATATAGAGAGAGAGAGAGATAGTTTTATACGTTGTATGGAATTTGGGCTTCTCTAACTAATTAGAAGATTAAGTTTCCTTGTCTTTTAAAATTTGGTTAAACTATTCTAAACAAAATTAATTAGAAGATTTTGGTCTAAGAATTTCCTTTTTATTGCAAACCATACTAGAGACGTAAACTACACTAGGCTAAGTACGTGTGACAAGTTCAAGAGATTCGAATATGTGTCAATTGACACAAGCTCACTTATTTCAACCACTAGACAATCACCTGCGGGACAGGGACAGGGTCTGAGAACCCTTTTTTGTTAAGGAAAACCATCGCCACAACTTCCATATATTCAATTTATTATAGCATAACTTAGGGGTGTAGATGTAATATTCTAATTAGCTACAGAAGCCAAATTCCATACAACTCTCTCGCAGAATCACTAACCCTGGAATTGTACACACATGGTGCAAATTCACGCCGCCTACAAACTCTGAAACCATGGCTGATGATAAATCACATCTTCCACCGGAAATCATAGAAATTATTCTGTCGAAATTATCATCAGTTAAATCTCTTTTTCGATTCAAATCAGTTTCAAAGTCATGGAATACTATGATCACAGATCCTGTATTCGTCGAAAATCATATCCGTCGATCAAAGTATTCGAACTCGCAGAACCTTCTTCTATGTCGTACGAGCCAGACTTCTCCTTTCCAATTTTCGGTGGTTAAATTGGAAGATAAAAAATTCCAAACCCTACCTGTAGCAATTGAAGCCCCCTTTGGTTGTGTGTCGGTATTATGCTTTTGTGAAGGGATGATACTCTTAACCTGCGGCACACGCCACAGACTTGTGTTGTGGAATCCATCCACTCGAACAGCCGAAAAGCTTTGGCATCGGAAGCGCTGTTCGCTTGCGGCTTTTGGGCTTTGTCGTGATCCAAACACGGACGATTTCAAGGTTTTTGTTGCAGATTGGGACTACTACTCCGTTTATTCTTGTAAGAACAAATCCTGGATAATGATGAAAAAAGAATACGAAATTGAACGTATTGGTTTAGGTTTCATGGATAGTAGACCGGCCGGTGTGTGTGTTGATGGTGCGAGCTATTGGGTTTGGAATAATAGAAAAATAATTTATTACGATCCGAGAGATGACAAGTTCAAGATATTGCAGAAGCCGGAAAAATTAGAGGATTGCGAACGAATTTACTTGGCTAATTTGAGGAGCTCTTTGTGTGTGTATGGCTATTTCTGTGCCGCAACCAAGGTTCAAATTTGGACGAAAGAAAATGGCATAGACAGTAATTCTTGGAAGGAGTTGATGACGGTTCAATGTGACAAGTTTCTATACTTGCAGCCACTATATTTTTTTGTCGAAAATAAGATCGTGTTTCGAGTAGATTTTAAAAGATTAGTTATTTATAGCCCTTCTGAGAAGAGGTTTGAAGAATTTGAAAATGATACACGGCTTCTGTGCATTGGTATGGTTCCGGTTCCATATATCGAGAGTTTCTATTTCCCCATTGAGAAACCGAAACCGAAGAGGAAGTGGAAGAGGAACCGTAGATCAACATTAATGTCAAAGTTATTTCGATGCCTAAGAGGCTAAGACATACTGACAAACGAAAAAAAACGCATTTTCTGCGAATTTAAACGGCCAAGCACTGGGCAGCTGGTCAGAGGGGATTTTCGTAATCAGGCCTTATTTCAGGGGTTCTCGTAATTTAAAGGTAAACTTTTTGTTTTTTTTTTTTTTTTTTATATGTTTGTTCACGTTTGTTGTTATTGAAGAATAGGGATATTTTTATTTTTTTAATTTATTTACCTCTCTGATGAGTTCTTGGTTGTGCGTTGCTAATCTAATCTTGTTTACTGTATGAATTGCGAGCTTCTCCTTGTGTAATATATAAACTACCTTGTCCTAAATGTATAGTTTTTTTTTACTGGTGCTCCGTCGAACAATATAAAATTCAGGTTTTGTTTTGCAAACATCACCCCTATGAAATCTCTAATTGCTCAAAACACCAGTGTGTCAAAAAAAATTTAGCAAAGACCCATTTGAAAATTAGTCAAGGTTAAAAAGGCCCTTGACAGCTTATCGTAACAAGACCTTCGCTTGTTGACAACTTTTTGATGAGCAGATATTTCGCTCAATTACGATCCATACTAAAAAATGTTCTTCGTTCGATGCCTCAACTGCCTTCTCCCACATATCTCTTTCCTTCGCTCTAGACCCACCCCCTTCCGTAGAACAACCCAGTCGATCCCTTAGTGGAGGGAAACCAAGGAGCCTTTGCATATCCCAAAAATGGTGCGTTATTTATGAAATTTCTAATTTAAAGGGTATTCCAGTCTTTTCACGTCGAAAGATCAACCCCCGGTCGCGTTTGTGGGGAGTGTATTGCACACGGTCAACTCACAGGGACCTTTAGAGACTTTTGTGATAATTGGAGATTACACAGGGTGATTAGTGCTAAAATCTTTTTTAGCATGTTCTACTGTATTGAACAGTAACCAAACGGCTAAATTATTAAAAAAAAAAAAAAAAAACATTCCACCTCGAAAACCAAAACAAAATCGACTTGTTACGACCTGATTAAGCAACATAATAATAAGCAAAACAAACATGAATGAAAACTGATAAGTAACTACTACGACCAAAACATTAAACTACGCAAAAACGTGTGCATAGACATATTTACACAAATCAACAACTTTGCCTATGTCTGATTGTTGAATGACCATCTCAACAAAAAGGTTAAGTTGTTAGTGAAATATATTATTTAATATTAATACCGATCATAACTTCAATTGTCACTTCTCCCTTAGATTTTTTTTTCTTCATAAACAACAATCAAATGGCTGCATTACGATACGGCGAATTCAAATAAAAAATATCGAAAACATACTAATTGTTAAGCAAAAACATAGACTATGAGATGTACTTTTTGCGAACTAATAATTAATTCTATTCGTTGAGCCTTGATCATTTTTCGCTTCGTGCTCCTCTTCGGTTCGGGTTTCTCGATGGGGAAGAACAAAGTCTCTATATAAGGAACCAATCCATATCCAAAATCCTGTGTATCTTCAAATTCTTCAAACCTCTTCTCATTAGGGCAATAAACTACTAATCCATAACCTTCCATTCCCTTTACTCGAATCACAATCTTATTTCCGACGAAACATAGCGGCTCAAACAACAAAATGACATCTCCACATTCTCAACAGTTATCAACTCCTTCCAAGAATTGTCCGCAATGAGATTTCCCTTTGTCCAAATTCGAACCGATTTCTTGTCTCTACCACTGCAATTAAGACACAATCGCCCCCTCAAATCAACCAAGTTAATCCATTCGGTGTCCACTACATTCTCCGGCTTCTGCAAGAATCTGATATGAGTGATGATGTCATCCCTCGGATCGAAGTAGATTATTTTTGTAACTGTTAGAATCCGAGAGGATTCTAATTTCGGTTTTTCAGCACGTGTGTGAAAAACGTGTGTCTAAAGCTAGGGAAGTTTCCTTAATGCTTTAAACTCTTATTTTGTCATTAATTTATTTAATTACATAAAGTGATGTGTTAACAAGGAATTTCTATGACTAAGACCTTCCTTTGTTATACAAATCCTTTTCCTTACGTGAATAAGAATCCCTAACCTAATGGATTTTATTTCATTGGTATTTTATATTTTATGGGAATTAAGTATTCATTAGTAGTGGGCTAATATTTCTTTTCTATTAAAACTCTTCTTTGTACGTCTAACAATAAAACCTAATGGGTTTCTTTATTTCTTGTATAGGAAGATTCAATCACGTATAAAAAGGAAGACATCAGAACGTGATTGTGTGCGGCTTTTCGGAGAGAAAAATAATTCTCTTTTCTTTGTTGCTCTTCCGGAGTTTTTCTATCGAGAGAAGATTTCAGAGAAATATTTTTTTCCTCTCGTTTTTATTGCTCCATCGTGATACGTGATTTTCATAGAAAATATATCGGCTTCAAGGCTTTGTGGTGAAGACACCAAGATTCAACGAGTATCACAAGTTTGCTTCTTCTATACAAAAAGAAGACCGGTTCTTTGGGAGAGGGGCTTAAACAGATCTCGGGAGGAGATCGATCCGCCGACTCAAGAAATCAGCGTTGAAGGGAGTTCAACCGTGCGGAGCAAGGGACGTGCTGCAAATTGAAGATTTATAATTCAGCGTAGTATACAAGAACGGCGTCAACAAAGAGGGAGTCTTTGTATTTTGATTAAGTCCTATTATTGTATTCGTAAAACTAAAAATTAGTAAATTTTATTTGCAGGTCCCCGTGGATGTAGGGTACAGTTGTATCCGAACCACATTAAATTTGTGTCTCGTTTATTTCTGTTTTTACAAACTGTTTCACGAACTGTTGCAACACTTCACGCAACAGTAACGAAAAAACTGAATCTGACACAAATAATTTATATCTGCACGAAATAATTCTAACAATTGGCATCAAGAGCCTGTCACTAGATACACTTAGTGAGATTTTGGGATTTAATTTTTTAAATTGTTTTGTGCAGATATGCTTCATCGTGAAGGAGCGTCTACAGTACGACCACCTCTCTTGGATGGAACAAATTACTCTTACTGGAAATCGAAGATGAAGATGTTCATCAAGTCCGTTGATGAACGAGCTTGGCGTGCTATCGTGACTGGTTGGACCCCGCCCATGGCTAAAGGAACGGATGGTATGCAAATGGTAAAACCAGAAGAAGCATGGACTAATGAAGAGATATTACTTGCCAATTACAACTCAAGGGCGATAAACTCAATTTTCAATGGCGTTGGTGACAATCAGTTCAAATTGATAGCATCGTGTGAATCAGCAAAAAAAGCATGGGAGATCCTACAAGTGACGTATGAAGGCACATCAACTGTTAAAACATCTAAGCTGCAGATGCTAGCCACGAAATTTG